TATAAACTCCTGATTTATGGACCTGACACAGTGCAGCTCTGCGTGGAGGAAAGGGAAGGCTGTTCCCCTCACCCTTCTGGAAGAGGTGTAGGGCTTGTTTGCTTACTTGTAGTCATCCACAGAAGGGGAGGCACTTGCTGGTTCGTCTTAAAGACATCCCAGTGGGCAAAAGGATATTGAAGTGGCACTTGTTCAGATCTCAGGGGCCAGTAGTTGGGAGAGGGAAGGGAGGAGGCCAGGGATAAGTGATGCTGGGTGCAGGATTTGCATTATCCGTAGGAAGAGCCAACCTCAGGATGTGTGCTCTGTACTGCCCAGGCTGAGTACGTCAAGATTTCACCCTCTGGGGAGCTACAGAGGCAGCAGGGGGTGTCACAGAGCAGGCAGTGGGTGAGCTGGCTTGGAGGGAGGCTCTGACACCGTGATGAGGGCGTGCAGGGAGGTGACAGCTGCCCGTGGTCCACTTTCCCTCTGGAAATTGTGGTTTCCATTGCAAAGGGCTTCCTGTAGGGCTAGAGGACAACCCCCCTCGGGTTCTCTGTGTCACCAGTCCCACTGGATGGAGGCCTCAGGACTTCCCACCACAGCCTTTTGGTGGTGTCCCACCAAATTTCAGCTCTCTTACCCTGGCAGAGCACGGCCCTTTTCCAGCACGGACTCTGGCTCTCGAAGAAACTCCTCGCCCTGTTCTCCGCCAGCCACAGCTGCCTTCCAGCCGGGGTGCTGGCAGCAGCATTTAACCTCTCCTCCCCGTGTTCTTCTTTTGGTTTCGCAGGCTGCCTCCTCACCTAGGCTGGATTGCTGCCCTGGGTTTACATCAGCCGAGGGGTAATAACGAGCCCTCCCGTCCCCAGACCTCTCCTGCTTAGGTTACCTCGCAGGAGTAGATTTAGGTTTTATCTCCTGGCTTGCAGTAGTGGGCGTGCTGCTAGGCTCTGACTCCTCTCTCACCCGCGGCGCTCAACGTCTGCTTCTACACATCCTTGGTCTGTGCCAGCAAACCTCCAGCTGCCTGCTCTGGAGAATTGGGTTTCTTCTCTTCAGTGTGGGGTTTATTTTGGGGGGTACCTGGTGGTTACGGGTTAAGATGGTTTGTGTTTCCTGCAGGGAGCTTCGACTGGGAAGGGCGTTGGATGTTCTCTGTGGTGGAAAGTCATTTACCAGAGGGGTGGGAAGTTTGGGTACCCTGGCCGGGTTTTTTTGGGGACAGAGAGAAAGTAGGAAGAATAACTAAAGGCTTTCTAATCGGATTAAGTATGATTTGGTTGACTGGTACCTCTGAGGCACTCGTCAGAGGGTTCAGGTAGCAAATTGGTCTCTCATTTTTTATTTTTCTTCGTATTCATGGCCCTCTAGGGTACGGGGACCTCCTGTATGCTTCTGCAACACTTGGACAGTTCCTGAAGACTGCCGGATGTCATGGACTCCCCCAGGGAGGGTGGAAGAAGGTAAGTGAGGAATAGCTTCCCTCCAGACCTGCGTGCAAATTGAAGGTGAACGTCACCTTGAGGAAGAGACGGGATGGTTTCCCATCCCCAGGGCCAGGATCTGAGATCTGTGAGCTGTGTCTGTCCCTCTGCAGTTACGACCGCCTCCTGTGCCTGGACGGAGGGGGCATCCGGGGCCTGGTGCTCATCCAGCTCCTGCTGGCGATCGAAAAGGCCGCGGGGCGGCCCATTCGGGAGATTTTCGACTGGATCGCAGGGACCAGCACCGGGGGCATCTTGGCCTTGGCTATTGTACACGGTGAGGCAAAGAACGGGCTCGTTCTCACTCCTCTGGGTGGAAGGGATGTGGGGTGGGAGCTGCCTTTCTGGGAGTCCTGCCTGAGATTTGCCCTCCCTACCTGCGGAGGGGAGGTGTGTCCATCAACGAAGGAAAATCCAGACCTGTTTTTGCTCTTGCTTCATCCTCCCGATGCTGCTCAGGGAAGCCCATGGACTACATGCGCTGCCTGTACTTCCGCATGAAGGACATGGTGTTCCGGGGCTCTCGGCCCTACGAGTCGGAGCCCCTGGACGAGTTCCTGAAGAAGGAGTTTGGGGAAAACACCAAAATGACAGATGTCCAAAAACCCAAGTAAGTCCTGCTTGGGGCTGTGCTGCTGGCTCTCTTGGGGAACGCTCTGGAGGCCACGTGGCACGTTTGGCATCTCCTATGAGCAGAGAACCTGTGATGGGGAGACCACGGAAGCCAAAACCACGTATTTTTTTTCCATTTTACCCTTAGCTGTCTTCTCCTTTTCCCCAGAGTCATTGTGACGGGGACGTTGTGTGACCGGCAGCCAGCTGAGCTCCACCTCTTCAGGAATTACCCCGTCCCAGAGACAAAAGTCTCCACTGAATATAAAACAACCGCGTCTTTCAAACCACTCACTCGGCCGGAAGGTAAATCTGGGCACGCAGCAGGTGCAGGTAGATGATGGCACTCAGACACAGGAGAACTCCTGTTTCTCCCCCTGTTTTTCTGGAAATCGGGGTGTCCCAGCACCAGCTGTGCCTCGTGAAGAGGGGATGCTCCTCGCACGAAGGAGAGCTGCTGAAAGAGGCACGTCTGCTCCTCTCTGTCCCTGCAGACCAGCTGGTTTGGCGTGCTGCTCGCTGCAGCGGGGCGGCTCCCACCTATTTCAGGCCCATCGGGCGCTTTTTGGACGGCGGGCTGCTGGCAAACAACCCGACCCTCGACGCCATGGCGGAGATCCACGAGTACAACAAGTCTCTGATCAAGAAGGTGAGGGAAATCCTGGCCTTGAAGCAAGAACTTCCAACAGACTGTTGTGAAATTAATATTTCGCTTTAATTGCGTGTTCCTGCAAATAAATCTTCTCTTTTGTCCGCAGGGTCAGAGGCAGAAAGTGAGAAAGTTGGGGCTGGTGGTCTCCTTGGGGACAGGGAAGCCTCCACAGGTCCCCGTGAGCTCTGTGGATGTCTTCCGCCCCTCCAACCCCTGGGAGCTGGCAAAGACCGTGTTTGGGGCCAGGGAGCTCGGCAAGATGGTGGTGGATTGTGTGAGTACTGGCAGGAGGGGAAGAGCCTCGGGGTTGCTTTTAGAGAGGGAGCAAAGGTTTCCAGTCTTCAGCTTCTTCCTTTTGGAAGAAAATTGAATTTTCCTTGGAATCGCTCCACCCACGGCCGATTCAAGGAATGGGGGTAAGGGGTAGCTTAAAAATTGTGCGAGCACAGCAGGTCTGAATCCCTCTCTGCCTGTTTGGCGTTTGGAGAGGTGCAGTTCTTGCAGCTGAAAGGAGCTGGGGTCAGGACGGTGGCCAGTGACTCCTAGGAACACTTGCAAGCGTGAGTTTGTGGAACTGGAAGCTTTCCAGGGAGCACGGATTATCATCTGAGCAGTGCAGACCAAAAAAATGATGCTTCAGCGTGACAGCAAGTCATTTTTCTTAAGAAGAGCTTTATTATCCCCACGAGAGCAATTAGCAAGTGGTTGAGAAGTGGGAGTTTTGCTAATAAGGAGCAGCAGTTCCGAGCTGTGGCTAGGAGCGTGCGAGAGGCGGATGATTTTGCATGCTTCCGAAAGAAGCTCGTTAGATGTTATGCATGAATCCATTCCAGAGGAATGAAAGCTGGAAGGATCAGACTTGAGGGCCTGACTGTGATCTTGATAACGCGGCTTTATCTCTTTTTAGCTCCCTAAAGCCTGGAGATACCTGCGGAGGCCTCTCTGTCTCTGCTGTCTTTTCTTTCAGTTGTCCCAGGATAGCACAGAAAGCCTGCAGTAATCACAGGCTCTGCTGGTACCAGGTTGTGGAGTAGAAATGAGTAGAGATGAAGTCCCAAAGAGGCATCCTGGGGATGTTCTTACGGGAATTCCCTCTTTGCAGTGACAGGAGGATCTGTAGGGTGCAATTCCTTGTGTCCCAAGGATCAAGAGCGTTATATTTAGGGGGAAAAAAAAAAGCCACTCCACTTTTGCTGGTGATCTTTGCCATCCAGGATGCTCTTGCTCCTGGTTTTCCCTTTCCCTCCGTGGCTTGTGCTGTTGAGCTCGGTGCCAGGGAAGCCTCCTGCGGGCAGGGGCTGGGCAGCGTGTCAGTCCTGCCCTAACTGCCGGCCGGTTTCTCCCGCAGTGCACTGAGGCAGATGGCCCAGCTGTGGATCGTGCCAGGGCCTGGTGCGAGATGACGGATATCCCTTATTTTCGGTAAGAGCTTCCCTTCTGCTCCCCGCACAGACCTCTTTTTAGCCTCCAGGTCTGGCTGGGGCATGTGTCATCCCAAATCACGTCCCCTCCAGGGGTGTGCCAGCCTAAATCTGTTCCTCTGCCCCCTTCCTAATTCCTCCGTGATACAACGGAGGATGCTGTAGATCAATGAAGGAACGAGCACAGCTTGTCTGGGGTCAGTTACTGGGGTCTGGAGGGTGCTAAAAAGGGCCCTTTGAGGATGTGGACCTCATCCTGCCCTATTCCACCTCGGGGCACTGCACAGTGTGTTTTCAGACTCGTGTCTTAAATGCAGCGATAGCTGAACCGTGGCTCAGCAAGGAGTGCAGCTGGGCTTTGAAAGTGTAGGGAAAAGGCCCCCAGCCCGCAATTTTCCCAAATAAGGGGAACCAAACAGCCCAGGAAGCAGCAGCCAGGTTTCTGCTGCCAGCCTGGTGCTTGGGATGCTCGCTGCCTTCGTGTCCGTGCCCTGTTGGTGATGATATCTCGGTGTCCGCAGGCTCAGCCCTCAGCTGCACACGGACGTGATGCTGGACGAGGTGAACGACGCGGTGCTGGTGGACGCCCTGTGGGACACCCAGCTCTACATCTACCAGCAGCGGGAGCAGCTGGAGCGCCTGGTGCGGGACCTCTGCCGGTGACCGGCCTGGAGGTGGCCCTCCTGCAGCCCCGGGGCAAGGGGAGCAGCAGATGCCCAAACGGCTCCAGGCTTTGCCCCAAATGTTGAGGTTGGGGGGGGGGGGAGGGACTGCTATTAGTACTAATTAGAAATTAATCCTATTTAATAGACGACAGTGCACATATATTGCGGGACAGCTCTGAAATACTGACAGTTCTTGTACTCCAGCCCCATCTCCACTACTCTGCTTGGTTTTGCTGCCCTGCTCCCTGACCCTAAAGCCCTTCCCAGGAGCCAGAGCCCCCACCTACACCCCGAGCTGGAGCAGCTGGAGCCCGGCTCCTGTCTGTGCAGCACCCCCAGGGACAAAGCACTGCGCATCTTCCTGCATCACAGAACGGGCCAACGCCAGATAAAGCTCCAAGGATTGCTTTCCCTGCTGGGACCGAGCTGGTTCTGAGTATAGGGTGGGGAAAGGGATCCTTTGCTCGACACTCCTGGCTTGGAGGGAGGCAGAAACTCTGCAGCCTTCTGCGGTAGAGAGATGGAAAATACTGTGACTGGCACTGGGGAGAAGGGGGAACCCTTCCTGAACCAGTTGCCACCTGTAACGCCCTCCCCTTTTCCCTCCAGAGGTGCCTGAGGTTCTGACAGCACCTCTGGGGGGAGCAGACCCCCCCCCAGGGGCTGTTTTGTGTCCCCTGGCTTGTGACAGTCTGCTCGAGGGCTGAGATGTGAAAACCTGCCTCGTCTCGTGGCAAGCTCAAGACGAGGGATAACAGCAGAGGGATTTTCTCTGTGTTAGCGTGCAATCGAACCTGAGCTCAGGTCCCACCAAAGCAACTGACCCTGTAGCAATTGGGATTTGTCGTTTTTACTGCTGGAAATCCCGTCGTGACTGCTGTACTAAATGTTTCTGTAGCAAACTTTGTGTATTTATACATGACGTATGTATCCCTTGGAAGTTCTGAGAAGTAACCTGAAAAAACTGACTTCTTCAGCTGCCGTTACGAACAAAAACTAACATGGCTTGAAATAAAGAGAAGCTAAGATTCAGTTCTGCTGTGATGTGCTCCGTGTTTTGTGCCTCTGCGTCCTGCAACATCCCACGGGGGGCTGAGCTTGCAGTCTCACGGTTAGGAAATGACAAATTGGGCTCCTGGGGACACGGAGCTCTTCCCTTCGCATGGGCTGAGGAGGTGAATTGGCTGTCCTGGGGACCCGAGGATGCTGCGGTAGCGCGAGGAGGCTCCGAGAGCCCCCTCGGAGGGCTGGAGGCTGGAAGATGTCCTTCTGGCAGGTGGCAGGCTCTGCGGGTGCCAGGGCAGGGGGAGCCGGGTGCCGGGCAGCGATCAATAATTGAAGGAGGCGGTCACATGCCCGTGCTGCCTGCCGCAGGATTCCTCTCCCTCCAGAGTCCGGTTACATCCTGGGATCAAGTTCCAGCCTCCCGGCTGGTGAATTATTAAACCCCCAGCAGCGCCCCGCTCCCTTTGCACCACGGCCGTGCCTTCCTGCTGTCATACCTGGCCGGGGACAGGCTCTCTCCATCCAGCCAGCTCCGTGGAAAAGGCTCCTCTGGACCAGCACAGCTCCTCGCGCTCTCCTCGCCCCTTCCTCCTCCGCAGGAGAGAGAAAAGGCTCCGGAGATGGACCTGTCCTACAGATCCACCATCTCCATCTATAAGGTGAGCGCCGGCACCGCAGGCTGCCGCCTCGCTGGGAAGAGAGCTGTTTCCCCAGGGAGGCTCCCTGGGGTGGGCAGCCGAGGGCTGGGTCCATCCCCGGGGGATTTGGGCTGCGTGGTGTGGGTCTGAAGGCAAAGCCAGGAAGAAATTGGTGATTTCTGAAGGGTCACACACCGTGGTTGCTGGTAGCGAGCATCAGTTCGGTCAGCTCTTTTCCCCCTTGCTGCGAAGAGCAGTCGGATCCCCCTCGCTCTTCCCTGGGCACACGGGTGCTGCAGAAAGGCAGCGAGGGTCGGGAGTAGGGGAAATTCCTTATCCCGGCCTCCGAGCTGCTATCCTGCGAGCAATAAAAACCCTCTGATAAATCCGGCAAATAAAAACAGAGAGGGCGATCCGCAGCAGTCCATCCCTTCCCTTATCAAGCTGCTGAGGCTGGCAGCACACCAGATCGTGGCCGGGATAAAGCCGTGTCGGTGGCTGAGCAATAAGGGTGGCCTTCACCCAGGCAGGCTCAGGGATAAGGCTGCTCACACGTCCCCTCGCTGTCGCTCCCCTGTCCGCAGCCGTTGTGGAGCACGGGGCCCTAGGAGGAAGGTGACAGTGGCAGGTGACAGCTCGGTGCTCCTTCCCCTCCGGCTCTGCTCCTCTCCTGGCTTGCTGGAGGCGACGCAGGGCAGCAGAAAGCCCCAGCTGCTGTGCTGCAGGGAGCTGGCTTTGTGCACAGCCATACATCAGCACGGCGCCTGGGCAAGACCCCAGTCCCTGCTGCACCCAGCCGAGCCACAGCGGGAGGGTATCCACCTGCTGGGCTCTCTGGAGCACGGGGAAAAGCAAAATTAACGTGCTTTGCCCTGCCTACAGACCATCCTGGAGCAGTTCAACCCCGCTCTGGAGAACCTGGTGTACCTGGGGAACAACTACCTGCGTGCTTTCCATGGTGAGTGGGGTCCTGCCCGGCCCGGGCTCCACATCGTGCTGCGGGAAGGCAGGGCAGACCCTTACCACCCCTCTCCTCTCCACGCAGCACTAGCCAAAGCAGCCGAAGTCTATTTTAAGGCGATTGAGAAGATTGGGGAGCAAGCCCTGCAGAGCTCCACCTCCCACAAGCTGGGTAAGGCTCTCCCACTCCCCATCCTCTGCACCGCCAGGTGCCACCGCTGAAGGTTTTGGCTCTCCTCAGTAGCCGGTCCCTTTCCAGTCCTTGGGGGGAGGAAGACAGATCCCCTAAATGATGTCCTGCAGTGCCAGTGACAATCAAAATTGTTGTGTATTTTTGAATATCCATCCCCTTGGATGACCCTTGGTCATGGAAACGAGTCCCTGTTGAGGCACCCTGCCCTGCCAGCTGAAATTTCCGTCTTTACGGAACCATTTTTCTCCTTCTCGCAGCTTTGAGGAGAGCACTGGTCCTGCAATCTGCCAGGCAATAACCCGTGCCCGGGGAGAGGAGGATGAGCTGAGCCGCGGGGAGGAAGGCTGCCAGCCTCCCAGGGTGCGGAGAGCAGCGCCCTGCGATAGCTGGTGGACTTTCACACCCGCCCATCGGCCGCGGTGGCACGCTGCTGCTCTGCCTCCCCGGGCGCACCAGGAAATGGCCGCGGGGTTTTTCCACCCTCTCCCATCTCTCTCTCTCTCTCTCTCTGAAGGTGAAATCCTGATGCAGATGTCTGACACGCAGAGGCTCCTGACCTCGGATTTGGAAGTGGTGGTGAGTGTTTTTCCTGAGGGGCTGGTGCGAGTCGGGGACAGAAGGGACTTCCCACCCCGCAGCTCGCTGGCGTTTGCCCCGTTTGCTCCGTCTCCCTCCCTCTCACGTGCCTGCTGGCAGGTGCTGCCTCCCTGCACGTGGTGGAGGCGTGTGGCAGAGCTGCCATGGCTGGAGCCTGGCTTCATGCCCTTCCCGGTGCTGTTTGTGGGCTGCCGTCACAAGCAAGGGATGCCAGCCTCAAGGGCTGGTGGTCTGGGGGGTGCTGGTCTTTTTTTGGGGGGCCTGGTGGCAAGAGGGTCACCGGTTCTGTGAGACAACCCAAACCGCAGAGCCTGTAGCACCCTGTGTGGTGACGGGCAGAGGGTGACGGCTCCTTTCACCTCCTGCAGGCTCAGACCTTCCACGTGGACCTGCTGCAGCACATGGAGAAGAACACCAAAATGGACGTGCAGTTCATCAGCGTGAGTGCTGAGACCCCTTCCACGCCTCGGCCCTGTTTCTTTTCCTCTCTCTGCCACCCCAGACACCTTGCTTGAGCTCTTGAGGTGTTTCTTCAGTAGGACTCAGGGCTCTTTCTTACCTTCCTCTCCTCTCATGGACCACCCCAGCTGCCCTAGTGTGGCTTTTTATAAGAGGTTCAGCTGAAGCCTGATTTCAGAGGGGCTCAGGCAGGCAACCACCCACCAGAGCAGGATTATCACAGCACAGACAGGTCTCTGCTTCCTCACCGTGCCTGCTTTCTCCCCGGCAGGAGAGCCAGAAGCAGTATGAGCTGGAGTACCGGCGCAGAGCCAGCAACCTGGATAAGTGCATGGCAGCGCTGTGGAGAATGGAGAGGGCCCGTGATAAAAACGTCCGGGAGATGAAGGTGAGAAGTGATTGCAGGAAGGAAACTTGATTTCTCTGAAGCCAGGGGCTGGTTTCTGAGCAGGGTTGCCCTTCCTGATGAGCCAAGGGGTTGTCCCCACTGTTCAAAAGGCAGCAGGCTTATCTGGAAAGGAGGCACCTCCTCCCCTACAGGGCGCTGCTGACCTGTGGTCCCCGATCCTGCCAAGCTCTTGCCTCACTTAGCAAGCCTCGGGGTGCAAGGAGCTGGCCCTTGGCGCCCTGCTCTAGTTCCTCTGTGGAGCCCCAGCAGTGCAGTGGGGAGCTGGGGACACAACCCCACACTTCAATGCCTCCCCTCCCAAATGTGCGTGAGTCTGGTGTGGATTTAGGCTGATCTCTTCCTCCCTGTTTCCCCTCGTGGGCCAGGAGAACGTGATGCGGCTGCGCTCGGAGATGCAGGCCTTCGTCTCTGAGAGCCAGCGGGAGGCTGAGCTGGAGGAGAAGCGGCGCTACCGTTTCCTGGCCGAAAAGCACCAGATCCTCTACAACACCCTCCTCCAGTTTTACAGCAGGGTACGGCCCCGGGGAGCAAGCTGGGTGGGCATGCGGGGCTGACTCCTCCTGTACGTGCTCTGCCCCATCCACCACCGGCCTCTTTTCTCTTTTATCAGGCCCAGGGCATGATCCAAAACAAGGCCCCGCAGTGGAAGGAGCAGCTGGAGGCCAGCCGCAACCCCTCAAACAGCCACGCTCAGGGCCTCCTGGCAGCCTCGCACAGCCAGGGGTATCTGTCGGGCCGGAGCACCCCCACACACCTGGAGATGGTGAGGAGCATGTGGACGGCCTTCCTGGCCTTCTGGGCTGCAGGGCAAGGCCGGTTTGGGGCTCTCTTGATGCCTCTCCATGGCCCTTTCCTGGCCAAGATGAGGGAAGGGTGTGTGCTGTGGGGTCTTTAGCCTGACACAGCCTCCATGGGTACGTGCTCAGCCTCCTTTCCTTCCAGCAGCTCCAGAAACCCCTCGGGGACTTCACTTCTTCCATGAGCGGGAACAGATCGAGCATCTTCTCTCAGGAGCCAGAAATGAAGATGTCTCCTCAACCAGAGCTCTCCAGGAGGCCACTGCAGAGGACACCATCGGCCAGTATGACCCACGTCTGGGAGCAGTGCCACGGGGGGACACGGTGGTTGGGCCTCAGGGGGAACAGGGTCGGGCTCGGGGAGGGACCACAACTCTCAGATCACGGGTCCTCGGCCACATCCCTGGGTGTGGTGAGAGGACAACGCACATGGGAGCTGGGGAGGACAAGGCTGAATGAAAGTGAGCTCAGCTTTTGGAGTGGAGTTCATCCAGGGCTCACCTGCTTTTCATTCATCACAAATTTCAGCTGAAAGTCTTAAAAAAAAAATGGGATGGGGGAGAGAAAAATGTCACAAACTCTCAATTGCTGCAGCAGGGCCAGGAAGGGGGCTGTCTGCCCGTCATTGCAGCAGGCAGCGCTTGTACCCGAGATGTTTGGCCTAAAGAGGGCACCGCACCGGTCCCCTCGAGGTGACGTGGGTCTTGCAGGAGGATGCTGAGCTCCATCCAGACCTCTCTGATGCCTCCCCGCAGGTTTGCTCCCTACTGGCCGCATCTCCCGCTCCGGTTCCTTCGGTGAGGCCAGCAGCAGCAGCGAGGGCAGGAGGAAGAGCGGGGCGGTGAGGGTGCAGGCCATCGTGCCCCACACGACGGGGACCAACCGCACCCTGCTGCGCTTCGACCCCGGGGATGTTATCACGGTGCTGATGCCAGAAGCACAGAACGGGTGGCTGTATGGCAAGCTGGAGGGCTCGTCCACGTACGTGACACCTTGGTGCAGTCGATGGGATTGGTGTCCTGCTCACCACCTCTCCTGTGCCGTGTCCCCAGCCCGCTGGAGCAGGAGAAGTGGTGGGGCAGGGCAAGGGTGGATGTACTGCCTGGGAAGGCTCCAGGGTAGGGGAGCCAGGGACCTGGCGACACCTCCTGGCTTGCACGGCTGAGTGAATCCTGACGTGGGAGCCAGCTGAGGACTGTGAACTGCAGGAGTTACCTGAGAGGCTTGGTGTTTCTCAGCTCCAACGCAGGCAGGGCATGGAAACTGCTGCACCCAGCGCTTACTGAATTACTACTCCCTGCGGGGCAGCTGGCTGACACCTGTTGGCAAAGCCTGTCCTTTTTCACGTGGGGTCCGTGCCCCGTGCTCTGCAGGGAAGGTCACTAGGATGAAGACGGGCAAGCACAATGCCCTTCTTTTAGTGGGGTTCTGGGGCAGAGCTGCCTTGACTTGGGGAGGAGAGGACTGCCAGAGGCTGCCTTGAGTGCTGGCTTTGTCTTCCTTGTATTTGCTCTCAGTCACAGCTTCTCTTCCTGGATTGTGCCTGTCCTGCTCCCAGGAGCAATGATTTTGCATAGCCTGTGAGATAAGCGAGTCCTGCACCAAGCAGGGGTGGGAACACCATGGCTCCGTGGCTTCCCAAGGACTGTCCTGCAATAAATCCATGCTCCACCTAGGGGCGAAAGGAATGCCGAACCCTATCGCACATGGTAGCTGCAGCAGCTGGGGCTCGGTCGATATCTGGGATGGGTGTAGATAGGTGTGCTGGGCTGCTGGATCTAAACCACAACCCTATGGTTTGCCTGGAGCTCATTTATCTCTGTTTCCGTGGCCTAGATGCGGCTGGTTCCCTGAAGCTTATGTCAAGCCTCTGGATGACGTGAGGGATGTGGAGGAGCCAACCACCAGGTAAGAGGAGGGCAATAGGCCAGGAGAAGACAAAGTGCCTCATTGTAGGTCTTTCACACCAGCGGAGAGCTGCAATTTGCTGAGCCCCACTGTGCACTGAGATCTCACAGAGTTACCTTAGGTGACTCCACGAACATGTGCAATATTTTCTAAAAGGAGACTGGGCCATTCCAAGCCACATATTTTCTCCAAAGATATCCCACGGACACGTGTCACTAATACCTGTGCTTCTCCCCATTCCTGGCTCCTTGGCTATCCCCGTGTTTTCCTCTCTTCTTGCTCAGGTCCTTCCCGCTCCGCAGCAGTCACAGCATGGATGACATCCTGGACCGTCCCAGCGTTTCTTCCTCCAACACCCACTGGCCTGCTGCTGCCCAGGCTGCTGTGCCGAACCCGCCACCCCCTCCACTGGTTGCCAGCAGCCACCAGAGCGGGCTGGGGACCTTGGCTGGTTCAGGCTCCAAGGTGAGTGCAGGCTGGCGTGTGCAGAGCAGGGCACGTCTTTCCATCAGAGCTGACTTCCAGCCTTTTCTGCGGAGGCCTGTTGAGAAAGATGACACAAACACGGATGTAGTTGTGCGCCCTCGTCCTTTCCTGAGCTAAGGCATCTTGTTAGCACCGGCCTTTCTCAACCAATCTGTCCCTATGCAACCATGTCCTGGTGGCCCCTACAGCCAACTTTATGCATGCAGATCCTTGGTGCCTGAATTTCCTCCCTCAAGGACTGCCTTTTGTGCCCCCGCCCTTCTCATTTCTCTCTCTTTTTGCTCACCAGGGCCCCTTCAGTTCACTCCTTTTCTCCATGACCTCCCAGCCTGATTTCTGGTGGCTCCGGGGCAGCACCTCTTTCTGCTAACAGTAGGACCATGGAGTGATCAGGCTGGGCTGGGCGTGGGGTGACCAGCTAACAGAGATGCCATCCTTCTTCTCCCTTCAGTGAATGGGGAGCAGCTTCAGAGGGCTCCTCTTCCAAATTCAAGTAAAGGGTTGGATTAAAATCGCAGGTGGGACAGGCAAACAGCTGGAGGTAAAGGCTGAGAGCACAGCCAGTTTGTAGAGTCTTAGAACAAGGAATCTCCAACCTGTGGCTCACAACCGTGGCGTACTGGCAAGGAAACCCTCCACTCATGCTGCTTCCAGCTGTAGGGAATTGACTGGTGAGGACAGTCGAAGTTAAAGGTGAGGACAGTGTAAAGTGAGAACCTATGATTAGGAGAAAGAAGAATGGTGCTGCCCTCCGGGTGTTCCTTGCTCAGCCTCAGAAGGCTGGCAAACCTTGTCATGATGCAACATTTAACTTTTTTTTCCCCCTTCATGACCTGCTCTGCAGTTTCAGAAAACCTCAGGCTGCACAACATGGACGTGAATGGGATCTGCAGCCTATGATCCCAAGGCCACTGGTTTCCAGCCAGCCCCAGAGCTAGGGTGTAGGGATAGACCTGGGACTGAACAATTAAGTGTGTGGAGCACTTAGAGTATGGTGGCAGAGCAGCTGAACCCCATTAGAAGTTCAGAAAGGCTCAGCCTTACTCTAAGCTTCTTCCCAAGATATCCTTCTGTTGAGCCAGGAGAAAATAAGTCCCTGTTTGACTTCCCAGCTGGAACACAGATAGCCACACTTGGCTTTCTTGTTTGCCACCAGATACAGAAACTGGTGTGCTTTATCAGGCCATTGCAACTGTCACCAATCCTTCACTATCTGCTGGCCAAAAATAAGGGCCACGGGGCCTAGCTCCATCTTTCTCCACCAGCTTGGTTCACTTTTGAGCAGTACGTGGTGTAGGGTAGGGTACAGTGCTCCAGCTCTCGAGTTCCCTGAAAGCGCAGGAGCGTGAGGGCATTGACAAGAAACTCTTTGCCAGGATGGGTGGGCAACATGAGGGGGCATCTCTGGCTGTGCTGGCAGGGTGCGATGTAGATCAGACTGTCCATGTTTGCTGTGCTCTTCAGACGTGACTTTTAGGGAATCTGAGGCATCTCTTTCTTCCCTAAAACAAAGGGTCCGTAAGGAACCTGTGTAGGGACAACCCCTCACCACAGAAATTGAATGAATGAGTCAGAGCCCTGCTAATAGGACTTAGTCTCCTAACTCACTCATGTGTTTTGTGAAATCTTCCTTTGTGTGTGCAGTGTCCCCTGCCCAACTTTTGTCTCTCCGTTCCCCTCCCCACCCCAGATCACTCACTTGCCTTTCTTTTCATTGCAGAAATCAGGAGTATCTGACCAGCCCCCTGAACTCTTTCCACGGTGAGTGAGACGTGGGGTTGCACTCTGGAATCATCCGACAGGGTGGCATTATTAGAATACTATTATTATTGGATCTTTTGGGTTATCAAACATGGGAAGAACAGGGAAGTGACTGGAGGAAGCGATGCACAACTCATCTTCCGTAATTTCCCCCTGCAGTCAGGTTGGTGTCTCCATGTTTCCAGCACGGTGCTGTGACCTCTTTCTTCTCCCTGCTTGCTTTGGAGGGTTAGGGTCAGTAGTGTAGAGTGCTACCACAACGGACAGACTTACGCTAGTGTCCTTTCTTTATCATATGGAAGAGTGAGGATGAGGAGAAGCCCTGAGGGGAGCTTGAGGAACCACATAGGAACCTGCAGCAGGGGCTGTTAAAGAGGGAGAAAACACACTCCTTGGCACGGAGGTGTCATTCTGGCAACACTGAACAGCCCTTGCTCGGTCAGCAGGTCCCCTGCATGGTCTTTCCAGATTACCTGATGGTTACCTGTCTCCTTTCCCCTTCCAGAGGTACCAACCCCTTTGCCACAGTCAAGCTGCGTCCCACGGTCACCAACGACCGCTCGGCACCCATCATCCGATGAAGAAGCACTGCGGGCAGCCAAGAATTTCAGCAGGGAAGAGGATGGCATAGCAGTGATGGGCTGCAACCCCAGCAGGGCAGAGACCTCATGCTACCGCCCACAGAGTGACTTTTCCCTATCCCTCCTTTCCCTCTGGGACATGGGGATCCGTCTCTCCTGGCTGTCTGGCATGCTGTAGCCAGCAGCACGCCCCTGCTGCTCTCTTTGGATTGCCTCCCCTCCCTCGTGTGATTATTGTACTTGAGTGGGAGAAGCCTGGCGTTACTGATGCTGGTGCCCCGGGAGAGGGGATGCTGATGGTCTGGAAGGAGAAGGACACTTGCTAGACCATCCCTTCGTTGCTGGAAAAATGAACCCCAAAGGGAGATGGCCACCAGAAAGCTTCCAGCAACGTGGTCCGGCTGAAGGGCTCTTGGCCCCTTTGGCAGCCATGTTCATTGTGGAGGCACCTGCCTTTCCCTGCCTCCATCTGACCCCTTCCCTTGCTGGGCAGCCCCTGGGCACAGCAGGGGGAAGTGATGGAGCCCAGAACCACTGCCCTGCTTCTCCACCCAATGTCCCATGGACAAGGCATTTGTAAATAAAACAGAGAACGCTTCTTCCATTGCTGTCCCAGCGGCCAGGCCTTCCCCTCGATCAGAGGCCACGGGGGGAGGAGGATGCATGACCCCACCAGCAAGGGGCTGGGGGGCTGCTGGAGCCTCCCATGGAGCCCCCCACCAGCTGGCCCCATGTCTGCTGCCACTGGAGGGCAGCAAAATCCCATTACCCGGCCTCCACCCAGGCCTCCATGCCTGGGTGGGCCTCAGGTGGGAGGACAAGGCCTGGCGGCCATCTTCTCACCCGCCACCATGCCCTAGGTGCAGTGAGGGAGGGAGTGCGAGCGGCGGCCCCGGCTTGAGCCGATTAGCCTTATTAATAGAAATTAAACCCCGGCTGCAAGTGCTGCCAAGCCCCTGTGGGCCCCATGTGTGCCCCGTTCCCTGCCGCCGGGCAGCAGGATGGGGTGTGGGGGCTAAGAGGCTTGGGGGGGATTAACATGGGGGCCCCAAAAAGCTGCCCCCCCAGCCTGCAAGGAAATGGGTTTCCCTGTGTGCAGCTGGGACTGGCTCGTCCCCAGAGGTGGGTGAGTGGCAGCCATGCAGGGGGGCTGTTTTGGGGGTTTTAGTGAGCTGCTGGGGGTGTGCTGGATCCAGCCCTGGTGGCTCTTCCAGCCGTGAAGGATGGTGATCACTTGGCTGCTCCAACTCAGCTTCTGTCTCTGCTGGACACGTGCCCCTCAGCCTTGCCCATGCTACTGCAAAACCATGACCATGGGAGAGGCGTTGGGGCTTGGGAAGACTGAAAAACAGCCCCATCCCCAATTTTGCCCCTCAGTGAAGCATGGTCTACTGCTACTCGCTTCCCCTGCACCCTCTCTCCCAGCTCAGCCCATCACCAGCACTGCTTCTTTCCCCTTCGTCCCCTCCAAACCTGCCCTGCTCCAGGGGGAGAGGCGAGGAGCCCCCCAGGCGGCTGTGGGATTACCGGGGGATTCAGGCAGCCACCTCCTCCCCATTGGCTGGAAAAGCCTCTTAAAAGTGGAGAAGTGCTTTCTGCCCGCTCAGCACCTGCTGAGGTCTTTGCTGACCTGAAACCGTAAGCAGCCGCTGACCCACATCCACCCTGCCCGCACCCACCTGCGGCAGGCAAAGGGGGGTCCCCTGCGTGGGGCGTCCCCTCCGGCTTGGCCGTGTGGGTGGCTTTGCAGAGGGCGGCATCAGAGCTGGAGGAAAGCAGGCTGAGAGGGGGATTAGCTCTCCAGCGAGGACGTGGCTGCCCCGAAGGAAGGAGCGGGGCACAGGAGACTGCTGCAAGGGTGCTGGGTTCCTGCAGGCATCGCCCCATGCCTTGCTGACGGGGTGCCCGCCATGGAGCAAGGAGCCAGCAGGGCCATCTGACTGGGCACCCTCATCCAGAGCCGGGGAACGCCAGCCAGACCCATCCCCTCACCTCGGGGACTCAGCCTGCGCTCGGGTGGTCATTGCACAGGTCAGTGGCACAGTGGGAAGTGTGCAGCTGAGCCAAAAGGACAACTTTTGGCAGACTTTTTCTAATTTAATTCTCTAGCAAATGCTTTTCCAGGGCGATGTTGGGCTGGGGAGGCTGGTGGCATGAATCATGACCTTTGCATTTAATTTATTGAACCTTCCCTACCCCATCCATTCTCCATTGAGGCTCCAGGAGACATCCTCACATTCATGTGGACCCTCCTGGATGCTGGTACTGGTGCAGCTTGCCGGGCACAGCGGGGCTTTGCTGGACATTATCGTGCACCAGCTTTTCTGTGTGCACCCAGGCACCAGCAGCCAAGGCTGATCCTGCAGTGGTCCTTGCCCTGTTGGTCTGGGTTTGTGACTTCTGGTGCCGGTGCAAGTCTTCTCCTAGCATCTACCTGCAGCTTGCTCTGCAGCAGTGCTCACCACGGGCCTGCCTGCATGTGATGCCCAGGGGAAAGGCTGCCGCCTGTGCTGATGAGCTTTTACGGGTGGCTGAACGTACGTGGGATATTTTTAACCACGAATAAAGCTCCTTAACCGGGGAGAAAATAATAGCAAGCTGTAGCATATGCAGAGGCAGGTGCAGGGTACACGGTGTGACCACCGTGTGCAGCCGTGAGCAGAGGAGCCTGCATATGCACCGCAGTGTTAGGAGCGAGGCAGCTCTGAACCGCCTGGCTCAGAGCTGGGATAAAGCCCCAGCCGAGCTGAGCTGCAGCACGTTAGCCTTGGAGGGAGCTCCACGGGTGAATTTCTCTGGTGCACCTCGTCTTCGTCAGCTGGCTTCGAGTTGCAGTCAGGTAAATGCCCTTTCCTACCTTGTGTTGCGGTGAAAAAGTGGCTCCTGCAGGTACCCATCCAGCCCTAGACTTGAGCAGGACCCGTATATATTTGTCTAAAGCTGTCTTCAAAGTCATGTGCTGTTGATTCACCATTGACAGAAGATACTGCGGAAAGCTCTGAAGGGCATTCCACAGGTAGCCAAATGTTTTCTTGCTAGGAAGATGAGGATGTTTACAGGGGAAAAAAAGAAAGAAAAAAAAAAAAAAGATGAATTGCAGTGGTCTGATTAATTGATTTGCAGTGCAGGACAAGAACAAGAAGAGTGAGGCTGGGAGAGGGGCTCAAACAAAAAGGATTGGGTATGCTCTCAATTCATGCCTCTGTCCCCTTCTATGGTCCTTGAGACTTGGGCTGGGGGAAGAGACAGAAGGAGCCTGCATTGGCCTTTAGGTTCTGCCTGAACCTGTTAGGGAAGTGCCACCCAGAAGAGCTGCCTCAATCCATGCTCACAGGCAGGTCCTGCTCCCTTTTCTGTGGCTGGCGGGGTCCTGAAGGTTGGGAGCTCTGCTGCAGGGAGCCGTGGCTGTGGAGGATGCTTGGGTGCTGCCATGATCAAACCCTCCGTTGTCTGTCTAAAACCATTGGCCAAGACTATTTTGTGTCAAAGCACTCAGGTGCAGATGCTTTGTAACACCTGTCTGATGCTACTGGGGAGCAGCTATAATCAAAGATTGGTGACAGTTTTGTGTACAGGTGTGGAAATAAGCCTGAGCGCCCAAGAAATTGAGGCCAGAGGTACTGCTCAGTGCTGAAAGGGGTATGGCAGAGACCTGGGACCTAGGGGAGAAATACAAAAAAAACCATACCCACAGCAGCCAAGTGGAGCAAAATTCTTGGGCAGCTTAGGAGTCCTGAGAGCAACTCACAAGACACCCCCTCTAATTCCCTCCTTCTCCCCCCTTCGGCTTTGTTCCGGCCCCTCCGGGTAGGTATAGAGCCCTAATCTCTCTGGCATGCAAATAAACATCGCCACCAGTTTGCCGTGCTCTCCCCCTTCATCCATTTCCCAAATCTGGCCCCGTGCAGCAGGGAAGGGAAGGGTAGGGAAGGGAAGGTGAGGGCTGCGTGCTGAGGAAAGCACGGCGAGGGGAGCTGGCCTCTTGTGCCCCACCGCTTCTGCCATGTGGAGGTCCTGGTGGGCTCCCAACTGGGGCAGACCAGAAGGCGAGAGGATCGAAGGCTGCCCCTGGGAGCCGAGAGGGGTTCACATTGCCTGCTGTGCTCTTCTCTTCTTGCAGCACCTGGAGAGCTCGCCTCCCGGCCTGCCTTTCCCCACCCAGGCTAGACGATGGGGAGAGCTGACCCAGAGGAAGGGCAGCTCCCAGCTCCCGTGAAGCCCCCGGATGGCGGCTGGGGCTGGATCGTGCTCTTCGGCTGCTTTGTGATCACTGGCTTCTCCTATGCCTTCCCGAAAGCCGTCAGTGTCTACTTCAAGGAGCTCATGAAAGATTTCCACGTGGGCTACAGTGACACAGCCTGGATCTCCTCCATCATGCTGGCCATGCTCTATGGGACAGGTGATGCTTGGATACGCTTCCCCCTGCACAGTCTGTGCCTTCCCCTGTCCTGCTGGAGGCCCAGCCCGTGTCCCCAGGGGCTGTCCTCATGGTCACTGGCCTGTGTATTGAAGCAGCCAAGCAGTGATCTCCATCATTAATGTTTCATCTTCCCTGAGTGCCCCTTCCTAGATGTCCTGTTGCCTTCTAGTCTCCTACTCTGTCTTTTCTGCTTCCTTCCAGGACCAGTATGCAGCATCATGGTGAACCAGTTTGGCTGCCGGCCTGTCATGCTCATCGGCGGGCTGCTGGCCTCCTCTGGGATGATCCTGGCATCTTTTACCACCAACATCATCGAGCTTTACCTGACAGCTGGCGTGCTGACAGGTGAGAGGCCTAGGAGCAGGGGGAACAGACTTCCCTTAGCATTACCATGCCCAGTCATGGTCACTGGGGTGGCATCAGTGTAAAGTGGTGGAGGAGGGGGGAGAAGGTTCCTGTGTAAGGCACAGGTCCTGGCTAAGCATGGCCACGATTATCAGAGTCAAATACAGTTCAGGTGGATAGGCCATGAGGCCATCTTTTCCAGGGGCAAGCCAACAAGATGGAGGAGAAGAGGCTTGTAAGGAACACATGAATCAGGACTAGGACAGTCTTGGATGGGTTTCAGCTTGTTCCAAAACACGTCTCATGTCCTTGCACTCCCTCTCTCCCTCCTGGCTCTCACCCCCACGTAGGTCTGGGTATGGCGCTGAACTTCCAGCCCTCACTGATCATGCTGGGCACCTACTTTGACAAGCGTCGGCCTCTCGCCAATGGACTGGCTGCTGCTGGGAGCCCTGTCTTCCTTTCCTCCCTCTCTCCACTGGGGCAGGTGCTGCTGGAGAAGTTTGGTTGGCGAGGAGGGTTCCTCATCATGGGGGGCCTTCTGCTTAACTGCTGCACTTGCGGGGCAGTCATGAGACCCCTGGACATGGGCATGAAGAGGAAGATGGAGAAGACTCAGGACAAGTATGAAGCCAAGGAGATGTTGCCCATAGGAGGGAAGTCAGAGGAGGGCATCAGCACCACAGATGGAACCAAGAAAGCCAAGAAAGCCAAGAAGAAGCCCAAGAAAGGAAAGAAGCTGTTGGATTTTAGCATCTTTTCCAACCGAGGGTTCATCATTTACACCATCTCAAAGTTCATCCTGGTCTTGGGTCTCTTTGTGCCCCCCATATTGCTGGTCAACTACGCCAAGGACACGGGAGTACCAGACACGGAGGCCGCGTTCTTGCTCTCCATCATCGGTTTCATAGACATCTTTGCCCGACCAGCCTGCGGCATGGTGGCGGGGTTGAAGTGGGTCCGTCCTCACGTGGCCTACCTGTTCAGCTTCGCTATGCTCTTCAACGGCCTGACGGACATCTGCAGCGCCAGGGCTAGCAACTACACAGGGCTGGTCATCTTCTGCGTTTTCTTCGGCATCTCCTACGGCATGGTGGGGGCACTGCAGTTCGAGGTGCTGATGGCCATCGTTGGCTCCCAGAAGTTCTCCAGTGCCATCGGGCTGGTCCTGCTTATCGAGGCGTTCGCTGTGCTCATCGGTCCCCCCTCTGCAGGTAGGTCTCGTGCTGCAAAACAAAACACAGGTGTTGGTTTTGCTTCCATTCCATGGTATTGCAGGTATCGGGGATGGGCAAAGTAGATGAATAAAGGCCCTATTTCTCAATTTTGAATTTCCCTTGGATGCTCTCTGAAGTGAGAGCTCTGGGTCTCACTCCGCTACAACACTGAATCTGAGCCTGGGCAAGTGATATTTCTCTCTCTGCCTTGCTGAGAGACCTGAGCAATGGCCAGCATACAGAGTGGCATGGTTTCCAGCGCCCCTCAGTCCTCATCAGTGGCACTTCCCTCTCCTTGCTGCGATCCTTACCTCTGCTATGAACGTTGCATCAAATCGTGTTACGGGTAGGGTCAGGCACATGCTGCAGGCAAACCTGTGAGAGTCTTCAGTGGGACAAGGCGAGGATGTTTCAGGTTCTCCTTGGTGCCCATGGCATTTTGATTGATGCCATGAATAATGAATTCAGTTCGTGTTGGCCCCAACCCAAGGTGCCATGTTGCTGTCAGTCAAAGCTGCCAAAACAGTATGTAGATCCACCTGATGCATTTGCTGTTACTTTTCGTAAGAGGATTAAGAAACTCATGGTTTCTACACCAGAGTCCCTGTAAGGGACCGTGTAATGTCCATCCATGCCCTACAGCCTGTAAATAGGTTGTTCAATGGGAGAGGGAGCCTTCACCCAAGAGGCTTGCACGGCTTCAGATTAAATGTCTGATCAGGTCTGAAGAAGTCAAATCATGCTAAAGGCTCACTTCCAAAGTGCAGTTTCCTGCATCTGTGACTTGCGAGGAAAGGTCAGGGACAGACCATGGACAAGTCCCTGGGCAGGAACAAGTCTGTTGCTTCCTGCACTGCCTCCCCTTGGCTGCAGCATGTGGGTTAAAGCCCATCAGAGGAGAGCTCTGTGTGAATGAGAGGTCTTCATGCACCACCAGTTCTGAGTGAAGACCCTCTTGATGCTAGGTCATGGCCTTTCTTACAACCTGTAGAGCAATCGGCAGTCCCAGGCCAGTGAGGGTCCAAAAATAGGTGTCTTGGAGGCAGCTGCAGAGAGACCTTGGGGGGAGAGGAGGATTTAACGTTTCCTTGCTCAGAGCACCTGGAGCACTTCGTGAAATAAGTGTTGAGGAAGCAGAAGGCTATTAGGAAGCAGGAGCCACGTTTATGAAATCCTGTATGCAATGTGGCAGTAGGCCAGCTTTGTTGGTGAGCAGGCCCCAGGAGTAAAGGAACCAGAAAGGAACAGGGAAAAGGAGCAGATGCGACCAGGTGAGTTTTCCATGCTGGCCTGCCCTCTCACTTGCTATTTCCACAGAGTTTAAGGCCAAACAATTTCCTGCATAGGACAGGACGTAGGAGACCACTGCAGCTGAAGTTTTTCCAGGTCAGGGAACTTCAAGAGTGGGGAGGGAAGAGTGGAGACACTGAGGATATGGAGAGCAGGAGTCCCTATTTCCAACACCACTTCAAATGGGGACAGCACTCTGAGCAGTCACGGGGGGAACCCCTCCTCAGTTCTGCTGTGCTTTTGGTACCGTGTGAAATGCAAAACAGGACAGAGAAGGTGCAGAGTCACTGAAGAATGGATCTGGGAGGACTCCCACCTCCCCACCCCGGGTACAGGAAGCTCGAGACTCAGACTCGGGGGAGCAGTGTTGTGGTGGAAGAAGAGGGTTGAACAAAGTGGCTTTGTTTGGTGTAATCCTCCTGAGCTGCTTCCCCCTCCACCACGGGGCTGAGGGGCTTGCTGTAGGATAAGCTGCACACACACGCACGCGCATGCTCCTTGCTCATTCTCCAGCCTGGGGGAACAGGGCGCATTCATCCGCTGAGGAATTCGCTGCCTGTGGAAGCGGGGCCGGGTGCAGCTTAACGGGGACCTGGGGTCACAGCTGTAGTAAGGAGAAGGCAGGACTGGGCCCCATCCCAGTCAACGGGTGCCAGCCCAGCCACAGTAGGGTGGCAGCTCCAGCCCCCCAGAACTGGGAACCCTCCCTCCATTGCCAGCCCTGATGCATTCAGGAGGTGCAGTCAAAATAAATATCTTTTTGGGCTGAGACATCATCAGGTGTGGGCCCTCTAAGGAAGCCAGGTTCTTGGAAGCTGATCTCACCTTGGCAAGATGTCCTATCGCAGTGTGACTCCATCACCATTATTTAGCCTTGTCGGAACATGGGAAAACCCCAAACTCACACTTAGAGTAGTTCCCCACCTGTGCTGGGCTTTGTGTGGCAGAGTGCTGAGGCTGACGCTAACATCTCCATTTCTTCTCGACCCTTCAGGCCGCTTGGTCGACGCGCTCAAGAACTACGAGGTGATCTTCTACCTGGCGGGCTCGGAGGTGGTGCTCTCCGCTGTCTTCCTGGCCATGGCCACCTACTGCTGCCTCAACCGAGAGAAGAAGAAGACGCCTCCCCCAGAGAAGCCCCCATCGGCGGGTGGTGGGAGCGACACCGAAGAAGCAGAGTCCGACGTGCAGGAAGGCGAGGAGCACAGCAGCGACAACCACCAGCCGGCCCGCAGCACCGACAACGCCGTGGTGGCGGCCAGCGAGGAGGCCAACCACGTGGAGGACGAGCAGAGCGGGGAGGGAGGCAGGTGTCCCGAGGGGGACAGGGAGGTGTTGGCACAAGCTGGCTGCAACGCTGACCAGACGGTGGAGAGGGACAGTTTTTAGCCAGGGTGGATGTAAAATGGCTGGCCTGGTCTGCGTGTAACTCGGCCTGGGAGGGGAGGTGGGATGTGGGGTGGGAGAAAAAAACAAGGCAAAAGCAGGTTTAAGAAGATGGTGAGAGTCTAAGGATAGAGGGTCCTCGTGTACATATGCCCACATTCCTACCCCGTGATATATCTACTCGCGTCCTGCGCCCATGCTGGTATAACACAGGCTCGGAGCAGCCCAAACACCAAAATCTTCCCATCCACCTCCGATCCAGCCCTGGAAAATGTATTCTGCAGAGGCTGTGAAGGACTCTCCTTTTCCTTCTGCGTTGTCATAATACAGCACACAATTAGAGACTCTTTGTAATCAGCTCTGGTACGCTTTGGCCTGGTGTCAGTGTTTCCTCTGCCCCGTTCCTACTGTTGGGACAGCACAACCCCGAGAGGCACAGCTCTTGGAAATGCCACTCGTCCCCGTAGGGATATGCTGTTAGAGGCTGCTGGGGTGCAAAAAAAGAAGAGGGCACCTCAGAAAGGCTACTGCCACCAGGAGGGTGGCCATGGCACGGAGCTGCGCTGCCAGGAATAGCAGCAGCAGCGCAGGTAAACAGCCCATCCCGGGCGATTATCCACTCAGCAGGAGCAGCACAAGACGCGGGCGCGTGTTTTCTTTTTAAATAGAGAAAGGCCCCTTACATAAAGGGAATCAAAGGTAAGGCAGAGAGACGGGCTGCGCCCCCAGGGTGCCACGGCTGAGGGTGCCGGGGCATGTGGTAAGGCAGGCGTGACCCCCTCCCCCTGGCTGCAGGGGTGGATTTCTAGATTCAGAGAGGACAACCTCCCCTGGCGTGCTTAAACTGCTCTTAATCTGCTTTGGGCCTGGATCTTTTATAAACACCCCTGGCCAAAGCCTTCTCTTCCGCTTTCCTGACCTGTTTCACCTCAGGGGCCCTGGGGGAACCTATTACTGCGTCGAGGGATCAAGAACTAAGAGGGCTGCACGGCAGGCAGCTCATGGGACCATCAGATGAGGGCTTTCGTTACGGATGGGGCTGACTGCAAATTGATGGGTAACGGGTGAAGCCCGCAGGACCCATGAATCCATCTGGGGACATGATGGAAAGCGTTTCAGTCTAGATACACCCAAGGGAAAAACCATAAACAACAAGCAAACCAAGGCCCTGCTCTTCCTTACTCACCCATCTCCCCCACAAGCAGCAGCCCCCAGCTTCCCAGAGGTCCACAGCCTGAAAACAACCGCCCTCGGCAGCGCCAGGCAGGTCACTGGAACAACGTCCCCTCTGTTCCCTTGTCACCACTTAACATTTCCCACTGAGCCTTCCCCTCTTAAATCTTTTCACAGAGGGGCATAAAAAGCCCTCAGGGTACATTAGCTTGTGGTGCAACTTGCCTCGTGGAGCTGTGTGGCAAAAATGGCCCTGCAGCAGCAGGCGGGACTGAAGCTAAGTTGCAGAGGATCTGCTAATAAACAGAGGAATGGCCTTGCTGCACCATTTGTAATCCTCCTCTGGAAACTCGTGCCACAGTGACCACTGCGTCTTGGCACAAAGACATCCACGGTTACGAGCTAGACAGGCCAGCACATGACAGTCTGTCCCCTTTACTGTATTTCAAGATGAAAATCAGTAGAGGATGAGCACATGAATAACTGAAGAAAACCCAGGAAGAACAAGAAACAAAACTGTCACATTTGTCTTTATTACAGTCAACAGTCAGTACACTAGAGTCCATTTAAATCTTACAGAGCAGCTTGACCATGGATGACTTTCTTCCAGGCACCCACACAGATGACGAGGCCCTAGATATAAATCAAACATTAAAACAAAACAAACAACCATAAATTAATGCCCTTAAATAACTTCTCTCACTACCACTAGAATGTAACGGCAGAAGTCAAACCCTTGACCTCTGAGAAGTACACTGCTGGCAGCTGTGCTGCCTGCAAGAGGAGAAAGTGCCATCTGGATTTGGGATCGACCCACAAGGATAGAGGGAGGAGAAAAGGAAGCTTTTCCTTTTCCCTCCTTCCCTTGTGCAGGATAATTGGACATTACCTACTGTTTCTGGCTGGCCCGAAGGCAGCACAAAACAGTTGTGCAGAGAGGAGAGCAGCAGGTTGTATGCAAGCCATACTCTGCACTAAAAATCACAACGTCTCTGCCTACAAGCCCTGTCTTCCTCTCTCCACGAGGTTTCCAGCCTCTCCTCGCTAGTGTAAGGACAGAACACCACCTTTGCAGTGTGCAGGACTCGCTGCACATCTTCAAGAAGCACATTTGGTTACCATCCGTTACAAGGAACTGTAAGAGAGGGATAGATGGGAAAAGCATGCAGCTTTGCTCTTACTCGCAGGAATCCATCTGCCTCAGACAACCACGTTCACATCTCTGCTGACTGGGAGAGCTTCTTCCTGAGCCGGGTCCCTCCTTTCCACAGGGGAGGGCAGAGCCATATCCTGGAGGATTCTAGCCCTGGGGTGGAGCTAAGGGGTACAAAGAGGATGGGAACTAGGGAAAAGACTTGTAGACTGATCAGAACACCTGTACCACTATCCCTTTTGACTTACCCAATTTCTTAAAAACAATGGTGCAGAGAAGCTAGGAGTGACCATCCTCCAAAAATCTGCCCTAGAGCCCAAGGGATGGGCTCCAGGAAGAAAGAGAGGAAGCTTAAAAGAGGCCACAGCTTGAAGTTTGAAACCAGCAACCAGTGGGGTGAACAAAACAATGCTGGTGCCAACGCTTTCCCATAGCACAAGGGGAGGACAGGAGGGGGCGGCTCTTCCATTTCTAGTCACCTCCAGATGTTCAGCTGCCTTCCCCTTGGCAGAACGTGGATCCTGCACGCTCAGCAGTGTGCACAGTCACGTGGAGACATGGGAGGAGATTTTCCCTCCCCACAACTCAGTATCCAAGTTGGGCAACAGAAAGCTGTGGGGGGGGCGGAAAGGAATATCCAGGCAAACAAGCAAGAGAAGAGAGAGGAAGGCAGAGGTTGGTCCCAATCCAACCAGCTACTCCCACCCAGGGCAGAGGAGGAATCCCAGGCTGGACACACACAGAAAACCACGGAGGATGAATCGCCATGTGAAATACACATTTTTATATCAGTCTGCAAAGTCTTTCTTTTCCTCTGGCCGTACCAGCACACTCATGCGTCATCAATGAGCTTTTCGCCATTCGCATCCTCCTTCCCGCTCTTCTCTCTGTCACTTCCTCCTCCTTCCTCTTCTTCTTCTGCCCCGTCTGTGTACGTGTCCTTCTGCCCATAGCTGAGAGTAGTGCGGGCGAGGTCCACCTCAATGGGGAAGACGTCCGCGTCTCGGAGCACGGCGTAGCAGTCGTCGTAGTACTTGGACATCGTCGAGACGAACCGCTGCAGCTGGAACACGATGTCCTGAACTGCAGCGGAGACACGTCGACAAGAAATCAGGTGAAAACTCCTTCCCGAGCAAAGCGTGAAGGCTGTGATCAAGCCTCCCTCCCCAGCAGTAGTTACAGACTCCCCTTTATTAGTCCCACGTGGTGCAGATGTCTCAGATATAACCACAGGAAGATTCTCTAGCAAAGGCTGTTGAGCTAAGATGAAGGAGGAGCACAAAGCCCGAAGCTGTGTCTGCCTGACCCCTTCAGGTGCTGGGCACAGCAGCCGTACTCACCATGTTTCTGGTCCAGGAGCTCTATTTTCTCCAGCACGTCCTTCCTCATCTTGGCAAAACGCGTGCGAGCCTCCTGGCGGCAGCGTAGGATAAGGCGGTATTCGTAGTTCCCGGTGCTGACTCGGTAGAGGGGCTCACCCAGGGCCTGCCAAAACACGGCACCGTTTTAGAGACTCCCACAACGCTGCACACTGATGTGGACTCGCAATAACCTTGGGTTATTACAGCCCTGCAGTCAGGAAGCATGAAACAACAGGAACATTTGCCACAGCAGCAAACTGGCAGCTAGTGTGGCCATTTTAAAAGCCAAATGCATGCCAGCCACACTAAAGAAAAGTGTGACCACAGAGCAAAGAAAACAGGACAGGTACCTTCCAAGTCAACGTGGAGAAATGGAAAGGCTTCTTCACTGAACTAAGACAAGCACCACAAAAAAAAAAAAAAAAAGCCAAGGGTCTGAGGGATATATTAATTTATATAAATCATACAAATAACTCTGCTCTTCTTGCAAACTTCACCCTGTATTGATTGCATAATGTAGCGTATGTCTACAGGGAACCCTGTGCTATTTATAACCATCCAGACACAAGACCAGATACCATTAGGGATGGAGCTATAAATTGTCCCACAAAAGAGTTTTGAGGAAAAGGGGTTAGTCTGTCAGCTAAATAGCATTCTTCTCTTGCACTTGCAACCAAAACATAAAATTCCACATTACTATGGCTTCATTACGCACATTATATATGCCAAAACCCAGAGATATTACTCTGCTGGCCAAGACTTCTTTCCTTCCTCTTTCTTTCTCATTTAACACCAAAAATGTAATTAAATGTTATCTTAGGAAAACTTTTTTCATTCCTGGTATTGTGATCTAGGAATTAAAAAAATAATAATAAATAAAATCCTTTCTCTAAGATCAATAACTAGGATAAAACAGATCTTGCTTTTATGCAGGGAACCTTTAACTGTCTTAAACAGAGCTGTTAAGGATTACAGATGTCAAACTTTAAAACAGGCAGCAAACATACTGAAGAATATCATCAGGTTTTTGGAAGTCTTCTGATTTTAAATTACTTATTTTTTAGGAAAAAAACATTGTTAGGAGGGATCCTTTAATCCATTTTCTTCGGCTACGTATGCAGCTTTTGCATGCATTTTGCTGCAGAGAAGCTAAACCTCCATTTCTCAGAAGCAAGTCCAGAATTAATGATAAGCTGTACAGTAGACACGAATGTAATCTGTGAAGATAACGCCTTAATCCTCCTTACACAAGCCAATATTACTTAAACACTGAGGCAGGCAACCACTAAGCTAACAAGTTGCAGAGGAGACGACTGATTGCTCTAGTATTCCACAGCACCAGTGATTCATGAGTTACTGGCAGTGTTTTCTAGGAAGCGTTTAAGGGTCTCCAGTTTCTCGTACGTTAAGAACAAATACATGGTGTTCTTAGGACGTGTTCCCTAGTTTGGATCTGCAGACACAGGAGTGCTTTTGCAATTGCAAGGCAGCGTGCACACAGAGGCTACAGAAACAGAGGATGCAATTCTCAGTGCCACAATACTGCTACTCACAATGCAGCTGTATTCTTCATCATCCATCTCTTTGACTTTCAGGCAGTAAGACTTCACAGGATTAAAACCAAAACAAAACACAAAACAAGAAGGCAATATTAAAGATCAGAAGCTATTTCCACGTTCACTCACAGACACAGGGTCATAGCATTTCAAACCTTCCTTCAATGATGTAGGGTGTAAGTAAGAAGGAAAAAAAAAAAAGATGAGTTGTGGGAAGGATTGGTGTGGGAAGAGCTGATATTTATTTGCCTTAGGGTTGCAGTTTCAATTATTTCCCTTAACAGGTAAAAACAAAAAGATTTCTACAGTTACAGAAGAGATGCACTTAACAACTCTACCTTATTTTTTTTGTATGTAGAAAGGAAGGGATTAGTTGAATGGAGGAGGAAAAATATGATTTGACTGTTATTCAATTTGGCTCAAGAAAAACAATTCCAAACTACCTACAAAATATGGACTCTCAGATTGGAGAGCTATTGAGGGGAGTTCAAGAGTGTAAGTTCCATCAGAATTCTTTACAAAAAAGTAAGGAAATTAATTTGGTTGGGTAGAAAGTAAGTGATCTTGATTCTGGGAGATCCTTCTTTCTGGTGAGAACTATGAAGTCAAAAGAAGGTGTTTGAATTTAAGTAATCTGGCTGTGGACAAAGAATTTTGGGAAGAATAACAACAAAATTTTTGCATGAACAGTGGGAGAACGCACACGTGATTGTATAGGCTGTATGTGACCCTCAGGCTATGATTCTATAAAACTTCATTTCAACCAGCATTAAAAATAAGAGCAGCTCACCAAATATTCAAACTTGACATCCAGGTATTTTTTGATAGTCAGCCTTGTGTCAGGAATGGCTTTATTCAAATACGTGTTCAAGTCAGTCAGCATCTGCAAGTGAAACATCGTGTCACTGAATGTAAGGTCAAAATGCATGAGTATAATTCATGAAGTCCAACCTTCTAACCAGCACAGGTCACAAGACTGCCTCGAGTTAACTCTTCTTTGAATTGGAGCACATTTGAAAAAAATAAATTGATCCTGATTCAGAATTGCCGTTGTTAGAGCATCCATTACGGTCACTGGCAAGTAGCTCCAGCGTTAAGAAATGCGTGTCTGGCTTCATCTTCTTTCAACTCATCCTGTTTCACTATCAATTAATCCTGGAAATTGTTCTCCCCCATCCAAAGGGGCACTACCCAACACTGTCCATCCAACACGGCACTTAAAGCGCGCTCAAATCAACATTTAATATTCTCTTTGCTAAACTAAATGAACAGATCTCCTGGAGGCTCACCCAAATGTATCGGCTGAAATCACAAAATCATTACTGGATTCCTTATCTAAACTCTGAAATTTAGTGACATCTTTTAATAACGGGTACTAATAGCAGGGAAAGGACTCCAGGGAATACACTGATCAAACTACGCTCCTGTCCACAATAGAAAAAGGTGAGGAATATATTCACGTGCAAAAGCCAAATGGACAAGACCGATTCCCTGTGTTACCTCTCCGGTTGAGAAGAGATCCCTGAAGGAAAGCAGACAACGACAGTTCTTCCCACAATGAATTACTGCAAAGACTGCACCTTCAAAGACAGCCTTCTGTCTTTCTAGATTCCCCTCTTCTCCAGACCCTTTACTGCTATGGTTAAGTACTTTACCGGCTTAATTGTTTTCAGAAGATGAATCCCAAACTTCTCAATGTTGCGATGGGCATCAGCGAATTTCACAAAAGCTTCACTGGCAGCAGGTTGCGGCTCCCGTACACCAATGACAGAGAAAACATCTCCAAATGCTAGACAAGGGTAATAAACGTAAACAAATAGAAGAAAAGGTTGGCCCTGGAGAAAAACCATGCCCTTCCCATAACCTTACACTTAGCCAGGGGACAATGCTACGTATTCCCTAAAGACCAGAGGTTGACAGGGCATTTCTTCAATGTCTTATGTGAAATATAGAGCCCGTGTTAGCACCATGACAGCTCACAGCAGGAGCACAGCCCTTCCCACCTCATTTGTGCAACACTTCAGTTTTCTTTGGGTAAGGGAATCACACCTCTAAGCACTGACTGAAAATCCTGAAACTGAAGGTTAAAGCTTTCTGCTCCCTTCGCTCACTTGTTACCTCTGTGCGTCTGGGATAGCTCGAAGAAAGCTCTGAGAAGACTCTTGGTGTGTTCTGTCAAGCCTGTGATGGAAGACAGGATAAAACATTTGTTGTTTCACTGAGACATGATGTCAGTATCCATCTTTTCCATACGGTGTGTGATGGAAGACCCAGCTTACCTTTGTACAGCTCTGCAGTCCTCTCCAGCTCCTCCAATCTCTTCACCAATCCATCTAAATGGAAATAAGAATCAGAATACAGAATTACAACAGTCAAGGCCAGGACGTGGCTTTTAAAATAGCTTTTAAAATACCTGCAAACTAGTCTGACAGTGTGGGGTCATCATCTGTCAGCATTCACTAAGTGGGCCCCCACTTTAAGTTAATTTACCTTAGTTAACATTTAAATGGCTCCAATGATATAATTTGTATCACCCAGGAAGAGGCAATCACAACGAGGTAGAGCAGAAGGAACGAATTATGAAGGAATAATGTGGAACATGTAAGTAACTATAGAAAATTGGTTAGCACAAGTGGAAAAGTGTGCCCTTAAGAAAATATCCTTCTGGGCAATACTTACCGTTGCAAAGTATGGCTCGGCTTAACCCCAGGGCATCAGCTGTCCCTGAGCTCATGTTCTCTACCAGTCGGTGCTTCACCTTCTTCAATACTAAAGGCCAAAAGAGAGTGCAAACCAGGGTCAGGGGCATTTCTATGAGCATTGAAAGCACACTAGCACACTTCAGCGATTTATCAGGCTCTGAATAAGCTGGCCAGCCTCAACTTAACTCATTATTGAGGCAGTGAGCAGAAGAAGAATACCATAGAAACTAAACGGTCAATCCAGCTGTGCATAGCACATTTTTTATCTTGCCCAAGTGTTCTGCTCCCACATCCTATGTAATTAAATCAATAGAGCTCCAGTGCTTCAATTGGAAGACTACTCCAATACATCACTTCATATTTGGAACTAAACTTTGCTTATGCTACCTGCAGTATTACTTCACCCGAAGTCAGGATACCAGGCTGAAAGTGAGAGAAATGGGATTTAATGCTCCAATTATCCCTTTGCTTACTTAGATGCTTTAGATCTTACTTAAACCTTTTTGTCACCCCCTGATGGAATTAATTTCTGTCTGTGGTGGTCATACCCTGCAAATTACTAGAGACAATTATGCCCTCTTCAGAACCAGATGACTCAGCTACATTAGTTTAGAGGCAAACTTGCAGGGGTGCCAAGCGCCTGCAGCTCCTAAAAAAGTCAGCTGAAGCCACAGTGTTCAACATCTCTGGAAAATATTCCATATTCTCACTGCACTTCTGTTTTCCCAGAAATCCATCCCAGTCCTCAGCATTTCCCCGAATCCCTGTCAATTCATTGGCACCTTAAATTAATCCCCATTAAAAGAAATTAAAGCAAAAATAATACATCGATCTTTTACGGAAGTGAGAAAGGTAAGCCGTATAAAGGAGACTGCTGCATAGGCTTACTCCAAAATTCATACTTTGTTTTAGAAATAAAGCCTCCTTTTTCTCCTATAAAACGTATGGCTGTACAAAACTCAGTGTAGATAGATATTTTGTCGCTGTAAAACGAGCTGAGGAACTGCAACCAGTCTTTCACAACACACATTTCTGCGTATACATTTGGAAAAAATCACAGCAGGTCAGCAAAATTTACATGTATTAAAAATAAATAGATTAAATGACTATGTAATTGAGTTTCATCATCCATGCTAAATACGACGCAGAAAAGCAAACCAGCTGCAGCAACAGTGAAGCCCCAATTTAATTATCAAGACTATTTCAAGAAGGCAGGGAAGGATTTTTTTTTAAAACCTCTAATTATCTTTGACAGTTTCCATTTGAGAATGACTGAGTTAACAGTAAGAATGGAAACAGAATTTTACTCCAGTTTTAGCTAGGAGCAATCTTTCACTCCTCCATGTCACTTTAAACACTCCAGGGAGAAAGACGCCAGTAAGTCTTACCGATATCCAAAGACTTCCCCTGCTTTGGGTCGGCCTGAAGTTTGTTGTAGTGAATTGTCACTTCTCCCTGCAGGCAGAACAAATTCCAAACTGCTGTGCTGGAGGCAAGCAGCAGCAGCTTTCCTTCAGCAGTGAACAATAAACCGTCAACTGTGACCCAGAAGCTCCGCGGCCCCCTCCTACCTCTCACCTTTACCATCTGTATCATCTTGGCCACCTCCACCTTGGTCTTCCCTTTGACAGACTTGCCGTTCACTCCCGTGATTTCATCGCCCGCTGCTACGGTTCCATCTAAGGCTGCCGGAGTGTTATCGAATACCTAGCGGAGAGGAAAAGGAACACAGTCTGGAATCAGGAGGATTAGAAAGGAAAACGCAGGGCTGAAGGACAAAAAAAATGACAGTTATGTTCCTCCTATTTAACTCATTTTATTTAGTAATGCTCATGGTGAAGCCTCGCTTTTTCTCTTCTGATTCTGAGGTGGGATGGTCGCCTTGTTCTCTCAGGAACTTCTTGTCTACAGGCATAGGATTTGTTGATGCTAAGTGTCAACGCTATTCCCCTGCAATTCTAGCATGCTCTCCGAGGAGGAGAATAACCTCAATTTAATTCTTCCACACCTCTGAGGTACTAGGGCAAGGAAATCTCATTTACTGCAAAGTGAGAAAATCCCTCTCGCTTTGAGAAAAACACTTAGCACATGGCTCTCTGTGGTTTCCATCTCTCAGGACAACACTCTTTTAGGAAGACAGGTTATTGTTCCTCTCGAAGTGCCCACCTGGACGATATAGAGACAGGGGCAGTACTGTGCTCCTCCCCCAATGCTGATCCCAATCAGGTTCTGGGCGTCCTTCTTCAGGGTCACTGTCCCAGGTACTGTGGGGATCCCGCTAGAACGAGAAAAAGGGAATGGAAAACCGATTATGGCGGGCAGAGCTGTATCAGAAATGACTGCGGTATCTGTGTCGATGTGAGCTGGAAACATAACGGGAGTTGTACATTTGAATTAATGGCATTATCTCTGCCATAAAGTCTATCAGCACAGGCTAATTAGAAAGACCCTCTGGGATATTGATTTTTGAGACTGTGTACAAGGAGGCATTGAGGTAACGCTACACTGCTTGATTCGGTCTTTGTGCCGGAGTAAGAGGCAAACGCACGCAGCATAAAGGAGACGCCAGAGCAGCGCCCCGTGCCCGGAGAAGCACTCACAGCTTGTCCTCCTCGATATCATAGTCCAGCTCCGCGAACATCCTGCCCCCTGAGCAGAGCCTGTCCGCCCCTCACCGCTCCTGGGCACCCTGCGAAGAGAGCACAGCGCGGCCCCGTCACCCCAGCGGGCAGCTTCAGCTCCCTGACACCCCCCAGCAGCCCCTTTTTTTTATTTTCCCCCCCAAAATCCTCTCCCCGCCCGCATTTTACCCCAAAATCCCCTCATTCCGCCCCATTTGGGCCTAGGCCCACGGGGGTCGCGCCCCCCCCCCCCCCCCATGAAGCGTTGCCATGGCAACCGCTCACCGGAAGTGGCCGTCGCGCGCGCGGCCCCCGCTGCCGCCCGCCGCTGCCCCCCGCAGCCACGTCACCGCCGGGCCCGCCCGGAAACGGCCGCTCCCCCCCGCCCCGCCCCGCCCCGCCCCGCGCCGTTGCTATGGGGACGGGGCCGCCGCCATCTTGAGAGTGGCGAGGTGATGGCGGCTCCCTGGTTCGGGGAGATGGGGAAATAAAATGAAATAATAAAATGAAATGGAATGGAATGGTATAAATGGAATGGAATGGAATGGAATGGAATGGAATGGAATAAAATAAAATAAAATAAAATAAAATGCAGAAAAAAAAACAAACCAAACCAAACCAATAAAATAAAATACAATAAAACAAAACAAAACAAAAACACACAGAAAAACAACAAAACGAAACAACAACAACAAAAAAAAAACAAAAAAACCCACGAAATTTAAAATAAAATAAACCAAAAACACACAAAAAACCACACAGAAAAACAACAAACGAAACAAAACAAACAAAAAAAAAAACACGAAAAAAAACCCACGAAATTTAAAATAAAATAAAATAACAAACCAAAAACACACACAAAAAAACACACAGAAAAACAACAGAGCAAAAAATAAAATAAATGTAAAAGAAAGCAGCACAAAACAATACAAAAACAGACAGAAAAACAAACACAAAAACCCACAAAATTTAAAATAATGAAATAAAATAAAATAAATATAATACAAAGCACAAAACAAAGCACAAAACAAACACACACACACACACACAAAAACACACAAAAAAATAATAAAATAAAGTAAAATAAATAAAATAAAATAAAATAAAATAAAATAAAATAAAATAAAATAAAATAAAATAAAATAAAATACCCTTTGAACTCCAAACTCCTCCATGAGCAGGACACAGGGCTGGCCGCTGGCCTCTTGCTGTCTGAGGGCATTTCGTGTTCGCAGCGTGCAGCAGCACCACGAACCTAGGGGCTACGTGCATTAAAACACCTAAAAAACTTTTACACACCTAAAAAAACATTAAAAAACTGAAGCCTCCCAGACTGCTGGAGTACAAGGGCAAAAGCTTGAGGTCCTGGGGCTAAGAGGCCTGCTGTCAGTGCCATGCCATGAGGACTGCTGTACACCATGGGTTGGGGTCAGGGAGTGTCCCCCTGTCCCCTTGCTGGCTCCTGCTCTGTGAGCAGGGCTTTGGCTGTCCCAGGGAGGTGACACCAGGCACCCAGCTGGGCTTCATTCCTAAGGCAGGAGCTCCGCCGTGTGGGCTCTGCAGAGAAAGGCTGCAGGAAGGGGGACTGGGCTCAGGCATGCAAAGTCTGCAGGGCTATTTCTCCTATTTTTCTACGAGGATGTGAAAAAAGAAAAAAAATAGAAAGAAAAAAAGAAAAAAAAAAAAGAATAAAAGAAAAAATAAGAGACCTGCTGACAGAGACAAGGCCAAAACCTGTAGGTTTGATGAGCCCTGCTTTTGTGCTAAGCTCCACTGATGTGTGCATATTTTATATGTCCTTTGGTATGTCCCCGAAGTGTTGGCCTTTGTAAGTGCATGCTGACTGACCCTGCCTTTTGTGTGCACTCTCTGCAATGTGTCCAGGGTCGGTTGGATGCACTGTGTATGGGATGGAGAAGGAATCTACACGTGCCCCAAAGCCAGGGCTGTCTCAATATTGGAAATCCAGCAGATTGCCTTGTCCTGAGGGGAACAGTAATGAAAATGATAACCTCAAACAAATAAACAAAACAAAGGGCATGTGATCTGTAAAAAATCCCAGGAAGCTGTTCGTTCTCAAGAATGGCTCTGATTAATTGTGGCATCAAACATTTGAAATGCAGCTTTATCCCGAAAAGATAGGCTCAGTTTGCAAGTACAGACATCTCTCCTCCTCTAAACAGCCAACCCGACAAAGTCAGCCCAGGCTCTGAGAGTCAAACTCTCTTCTGCTCGTCTCTCATCACGTGTAATGAGGAGTCTGCAAGCAGATCACACGTTGCATGACTAGTTGGCTTCTTGGCACTCAGACCTATTTCTCGGCACTGGGGCTGGGGTGTCTCGTGGGTCTGGCTGCTCTTCTGCTACTGTTCTCCGCTTAGAGGCAACATGACTAATGCTGAGCTAACGTCCTCCCCATTTGCTGTTCCTCGAGTGTGTTTTCTGTTTGGGGGGAAACATTCAGGGGCTAAGGATGGGGATTATATTCCCTGGGGCTACCAATTCGTGGAGGAAGGGGTGAGAAGCATTGAAAACATGGCTAGCAATGACCTAACTGCTCATTTCCCAGCCTCTACATCTTATCACTGCCATGTTCAAACTCTCAGGACCTCCTGGGATGAGGTGCATCTTCACTCCACTGGCAAGCTGGAAATATCCCTCTCTACAGGATCACCAAGCACATGAGGTGCTACCAGAGCTTGTGGTGCTTGGGTTGAGCCCTTGGGGTGTGGATGCCTGCAGTGGAATATCAACGGGGCATGCGGGGACCACAACTCATGAGCAGTGGCAGGGTGGAGGGTGGGAAACAGACAGAGATTTGCCCTCATTATGCATGGGTCTAACATGCCCAATTACCCCATCCTCTCCTCACCTCCGCGATGTAAAAAGCTCTTGTTGCGAGTGGTCATAATTCATGGTGAACCCCCTAGCCCCCCCCCTCACCCCCTTCACACCCGCCGCTCTCCATTTTCCTTCCAGGAAAAAACGTGCCTTTGATGAAATGAAACGGCTCAGTCAAAGAACCCCTCAAATGGTTGGGGACCCCTGCACTTGGCCACCCTTGCCCACTTCTCAGCTCTATTTTGGGCTGAGTTTGGAGTTTAAGTGGGCTGACCTTGTGCCCCGGCTGCCCTGGGGGTCAGTGATGAAAGCGGATGGAGGCTTCACAGTCAGGTCTCTCGTGTGTGACTCTTTTGTTCCCGGGACAGGGGTGTGCAGTGCCTGGGACAGTGCTTAATTGTTTCGGGGGCACTGCCTTACCCGTCATGCCCTTCCCCGGGTGGCCCCAGCCCTTCTTGCTCATGCGTGGGAGGGTGGCAGCTTCTCCACTCGGGGCAGGGAGGAGGAAGCAGAGTCTGGGTTGCTCGGCATCATTTCTGGCTGTTTATCAATCCGCGTAATAACTTTCAGAGTGCCAGGAAGGAAAAAAAAAAAAAAAAAAGAGAAAAGAAAGAAAATGAAAGAAAGAAGGAAAAGAAAGGACTTCCTGGCATTTCACAAGTCCTGTCTGCCACTGCTGTCATCCTCCCTTATCCTGCTGTGCAGGCGAGAGCAGCATCATATCATCCCATACAGCTGCTGGACCCATCTGCCATGCCCCATAGGACGCACCCCACAACCGAGGCACTGGGAAAAGCATTTGGGAGGTGGTGGGTTCATGACAGGGACTGCCAAAACATTGTGTTGGGGCACATGGGCAAAGCCAGGTGGTGGTGTGAGGAAGCGAGCCCAAGGCTGGAGGTGCTGAGGCCCCTGGAAAGCTTTGCTAGACCTGAGCTGGGCACCCAAATCTGTCACGGCACTGAGGGAACGCAGAGGAGCAGCGGATTTGTCATATGTGTGGGCAGGGGAAGGATGCTAGACAGCCTTTTTGGGGCTGATGACAAAGAGCTGAAGGTTTGCAGATGTCCACGATGGAGGCAGATGAGCAGATGTCAGCATGAACGTGTGGGAAGCCTTGTACCACTCAATACCTCTTTGGATGCCCTCTCAGCATCTTTCTTTTCACAATGAGTCCTTCCTGTGCTTTACATCTTCATTACAGCTGGAGGCTGGGGCAGCAGCCTCCACAGCAAGCCCTTCCCCTCCGCCGTTTCGGGGAGTGACTGCGCAGAGGAAATGGATAAAAGGAGCGGGGGGTCAGGGTTTAATTACCCCATTGTGTGCAGAGACGAGTGATGGACAGAGACTGTCAGTGGGTCACCGATTAGCTGCCAGGGAGCAGACAGAGGAGGGGGGGATCGTGATGAGCCCCCGGGACAGGCCGGTGTTGGGGAGAGACCATGGAGATGGCGGCTCATAACGGGAGATGGTTTTTCTTTTAGTTTCTCCCCCAATCCTTCAGCTCCAGGCAGCTCTGTCCAGGTGTGAAGGTCTCCTGCAGAGAGATCAGCCCATGCTGCTTGTCTCCAACCCTACAGCCTCACCACTGCCTGCCCTGAACAGGGCTGAATGTCTCGGTAACAAACCTGTCCCCATTGCAGTTCTGGCATCCGTTGGCTCTGGGGCTGAGAGATCAGGGTTATTCTTGACAACTCAGTCCAGTCTTACACCTGACCCTGCCCTCAGTCCCGCCATACAATATCACACCTCACCTTCTTCCACCAGGTCTGTTGCCCTTGGTCTCAAGGCTCCTCTTCCTTTCCTTTTTCCCTACAATCCCTCTACTCATTCTCTTTGGGATTCTGACCTGCTAACTCCATCCACAAGTGTCCTCCGAGGTCCTGCGTCCCGTGTCCCCTCGCCCTATCACTCCTACCTTTTCCTCTTCCTTTCTCTCCTCACTCATCCTTTATCCCTCATTCCTGTCCCCTTCACCCCTCATCTCCTAGGGTTGTTTGCATGAATCATCTCTGGAATCATGAGATCACTGTTTTTTTTCTGTCTCTCTGTCAGTGGGAACATCACATTAAGGAGCATGGAGAAGTGACCGGGGGCCATTGGGGTGACTCTGGCACCCCCTCTCCTCACTCTCCCTACCCCCCTCTTCTTCTCTATCAAAGGGAGCTTTGTTGTCCACAAGCAGAAAGAGAAAAGCAGATAAAAAGGCGGAACATGTGATCTCATTGGCTTTATTTAGACACCCAACTAACCCTCCTCTCCTTTCTCGATTCATCCAAAATTATCTAAGCAAGAATCCATAATCCATCTCTGGGTTTCTCATCTGTGAAAGAGGTGGTGAGAGCTTTTTTTTTTTTTTTCCTTTTCCAAAAACTTCAACCGCTAGCCTCTTGGTCTCCACAAGGTGTGAAGATGAGCCTGACAGGGCTCGCTGCCAGCAGTGTGATGCCTTCGACTGCAGTAATCTCCACTGCATAAAACTGTGGGATGCCACCTTGATGAAAGGGAATCGGGAT